ACCCCCGTGTCCATGCTCCCTCTCCATAGGATGGAAAAGGCTCGTGATAGGGGCTTCTTGCAGTTCTTGATGAACACAGAGTTCCATGAGTCTGGCCCTGGGGCAGAGTGCATGGGCATGTCATTTATCGCCTGTTCGAAGTCATTTGGCGTCAGGATAACATCGGATAGGCTTGTGTTAATCAAATTTTGTGGCTCTCTCATAAAAAATTCATTTTGATCTTCGACTCTCAGTCTGGTTAGCGGCTTGCTAAAAACTGAGTCATATTGGGACTTGAGTAGCTCACTCATTTCCTTGCTGTCATCTGTGTAGGACCCATCTTGTTTAAGTAGGGGCCCAATACTGGGCGTTGTTCTCGATTTTGATTTGGCATAGGAGAAGAAATACTTTGGGTTTCTTTCGATTTCATTTATAGCTTTTTGTTCTTCCCGCGATTCCTGACTCCTAAAGGATTCTTTTAGCTTAAGTTCGATGCTTGCTATTTCTCTGACCAGTGTCTCCCTACGCATTTCAGATATATTGACCTCTTTTAGCCGCTCTGTTATTCTTTTCCGTCGCCTGTAAAGGGAGCGCCTGTCTCTTTCTATTTTACATCTACTCCTCCTTTTTCTTAGAGGAATAAGCCTTGTGCATACATCGAGTGCCACCGAGTTAATCTGTTCTAGGCATAAGTTTGGGTCTGTGTTGCTTAGTATATCTTCCCAGCTTATATCGGTTAGGACTTGGTTTACTTGGTCCCACTTTATGTTTTTGTTATTGAAGTTGAATTTGGTGAATGCTCCCTCGTGACTAGTCTCATTTTGTCGGTCTGGGGCTCCTCGCATACATGTCTGAACCTCAATTATGTTGTGATCTGAGTATATTGTTTTTGATATGGTGACATTTCTTATCAGATCATCATTGTTAGTGAATATGAGGTCTAGTGTATTCTCCAGTTAGTAGGCTCTATTATTTGCTGGTTTAAATTGAATTTTGTGCAGAGATTTAAAAGCTCGTGTGAGTGTGAGTTTTCATCAGAGCTGCCTCCTGGTGTTATTACTGCAACAATATTATTTGCTATATTCCTCCATTTTAGGTGCCTTAAGTTGAAATCCCCCAGGAGCAAGATGTTGGGTGCAGGAGCTGGAAGATTTTCCAGACAGTGGTCAATTTTTAACAGCTGTTCCTGGAATTGCTGGGATGTTGCATCCGGAGGCTTGTAGACTACCACAATGACTAGGTTTTGGTTCTCGACCTTTACTGCTAAAACTTCCACTACGTCATTTGAGGCATTAAGCAGTTCTGTGCAAACAAGTGACTCTGCAATGTACAGGCCAACCCCCCCCTTTTGCCTGTTCACTCTGTCACATCTGTATAGGTTGTAACCTGGGATCCATATTTCATTGTCCAAGTGATCCCTTATGTGGGTCTCAGTGAAAGCCGCGAACATTGCCTTTGCCTCTGCAAGCAGTCCACGGATGAAAGGTATTTTGTTGTTTGTTGCTGGCTTTAGACCCTGTATATTTTCAAAGAAGAATGTTATCGGACTGGTGGTATTGTTGGTACTGGGGGGGGATTTTTTTTCCTGTATTAGTATCTGTATCTGTTGGTTTGGAGTGGAGGCCATCGACTGTGGTTCCACTCCAGGAATGACTGGATTTGGTGTACGATTTCTGCCATTTCCTGCCAGTTTTTTTTCCTTCCTGGCACTGAAAAACCTCTCCCTCTTGAGTGGCTGTGGCTACCCTTGTTTTCCCATGGCCTGGATGTTTTGTATGTTTTTGTCCCCTTTAGATGGTATGCCTGGCAATTTAAGAGGAAACAATATTTAGATCAACTGAACCCCTCACCTTCTATACATATAACCCTCACACCCCGTCGCTATATGCACCTCAGGTCATCTATTCCATGCACCATGGCAGTATCAAGTACACTGTTGCTCCTGGATGTGATCCCCACAATGAAACTGCCCTAAATGCAGACTTAGAAAAAGACAGCAAAAGTCTGCTCAAACTTAGTTTATTATAAAAACCTGCTTTCAAAAGACCTCAAAATGGCTCTACGACAGGAACGAAAAACTAACAAAACGCAAATATGAAGTGTTATCCACCAGTCAACGGTGATCCTCTCTGCATACTTAACCAATCATATTGAAGCGTGCCTCCCTCTCCATCCCGCTTCCCGCCGATGTCCAGCAACCAATCGCCGACAAGTCCTGTTCTCTCCAGCTCTATCCCACGATCGTCTCAGCTGCTGGGTTAAGCCCTGGCTCTATTTCTACAACTAGGAACACTCCTCTCCTTCGCTATTCTTCATCTGTCCCGTCTTCCCCGCTCATCCCATTGGGATCTTACCTGAACTTGTTCGTTCGTTCGTTCGCCGGTGCTCTTCACACCATCTCCAAGACTGAGGGATTGATTACCTCAGCTTTTGTATATAGTTCTACTGTCTTCAAGTTATGCCCTGAATCTGTACTGATAAAGCCACTGGATGACGAAACGTCTACAATAAAGATACCCAGATGTTGTACATGTGTCTAATTTTCATCTTGTCGGTACTGTATACCATTCATGTACAACTTGTCAGACACTGCAACATCGTGGAGTCTTGGTTCAGAGGACATCTACATAACCTTTCACGGCTACTGCAACTACTACTACCACTAACCCATCCCTGGGGCTTGACCAACTTCCACTAGGGAATCCCGCCTACCAGTGACTATGCCCTCGTTTGCTACCCGTCCCTATCCAATGATGCCTATATAAGCGCCAGCCTAGCCTACTTGCCAGTGATCCAGAATCTCTACAAATATGGTACTCTTCACACCAACTACAAGGCTGAGGGACTGATTACATCAGTAACAGCCTGATTTGAGAAGGCCCTTATTAATACAAGAGTCCAGTCCCAGGTATACCATGCACTTTCTATGAGTATTTCTGGGTATACCCTTCAATCTATATCTTCCCAAGGTATGCCCTTCAGCCCGCCTCTTCCCCAAGTATACCTTGAGCCACAGTCATCTGTGAGTATACTCTGGTATACCCTTCAGCCACTACCTTCTGCAAGCATCCTCTAGTATATCCTTCAGGCGCCACATTCCACAAGTACCCCATTTTACCCTTCAACCTGCATCTTCAGGAAATATCCCTAGTATACCCTCTAACCTGCACGTTAATGAAATACACCTTTAGTCTTCACCTTTAGGAAGTAAACCAAGTTATACCTTTAGCTTGCACTCAGGAATTATATCCAGTGACGCCCTTCAGTCTCCACTTTAGGAAGTACCGCTGGTATACCTTTCAACCTTCACCTTCAGGAAGTATCCCTAGGTATACCTTTCAGCTTGCACCTTCAGGAAGTATCCTAATTCACACTGCACTGTGAGAATTATTTCATTAGGCCATGCAAATAACTCTCAATGAACAGTGGAACTAAGTTTATTACTTTTACACTGTCAGTAGAATACACCTGCCCATCATGGTTGTCAGGCGGTGATGGGACAGACTTGCCTCACGGACACCCTCGTTCCTCACAGATGGTTCATTTGGCTTTTAGTCTATCGACTACAAAAGGGTTTGTTTATTAAGGCTAGAAACTTATCAACTACATGAGGTTCATTAAGGCTGTATGTTATCTGTACACCACCATTCAAAGATACTTTAATATCTGCAATATTTATTAAGTAACTCGAGTATTTACAAGAGATTGTGACCACTAGGACAGAGTATATACATAGAGGTGATGACCACTAGGAATGTGTGTACACAAAGATGCTGACTACTAGGGATTGTGTGTGTTATTGATGCTGACCACTAGGAGTGTGTATACAAAAAGATGCTGACCACTAGGGATGTGTGTTGAGATGCTGACCACCAGGGATGTATACATTGATACTGACCACTAGGGGTGTATACAATGAGATGCTGGCTACCAGGGAGTGTATTCACAGAGATGCTGAGCACTAAGGGTGTATACAATGATGCTGACCATTACGGGTGTAAGCTCAAAGATTCTGAGCACTAGTGGTGTATGCAGAGAAACTAACCATACCGAGATACACACCTCTCGGTGTGTATAATCTTGCTTGTTACTGTACATAATACAGTCTCGTGACAATCTCAATATCGCCTGACCTCAGTGGAAATAAGTAAGCCACTTTGACTTTTTTGGGCTATCCTAGGTTCTCTACACATATGATGTTATGTATGATAATCTATGTAACTGTATTTGTGTATACCTGAATAAACTTATTTACTTGCTTGTCATATTAACTCCAGGAAAAGGGAGTTCGGAACAGTGTCGTTGTCAAGCTGTTCATAATCCACCTGAATCGAGAACTTCTTATTTACTTTTAGTGCTTCGAGCACCAAGGGCCATTTAACACATTTTTTTTTAATGTAAACTGGATTTTATCTATGAAGAATACTTTAGTCCCCCAAAATGGAGACTAAAGTAAACTTTGTGTATATGCAAAATAGTTGCCAGAGCATTACTATGGTAGATACTGACCTCTCACTTGACACCTGTTGCCGATTACTAACATTACTCTTTCAAGCACGACTTAGGATGCATATATTTCTTCAGCATGGCTGCAGTATAACACGCTGCATGAGACATGACTGATGAGTTTGTTGTTTATTGTGGATAAATATGTTTCATCAGTGAGTAATTCCATGTCTTTCAGTCTAAACGAATGGAGTTTCCAACAAACACTTTATTTTTTATTATTTCTCCTTTGGATAAGTTTTTAATTTAATAAAGCTAATTATTAGTCGAAAACTATGCCCTATATGCTGTTACATGTATGAGAGAAGGTTTGAATAAATATTTACGCGTTTGAGAGGAAAACTCTTCAAGTGGGAACCTAGAAGATGCATAGCTCTTGCTCCAAAGAACTGGAGCTACTTTCCCATTTCTTAGATCAATCCCGATTGCCTCAGAGCTCACTGGCTCCTTAAGACCATTACGGATTTAATACTTCCCCCATAAGAACAATAATAATTCGAAAAGTGAGGCTGAGATTCCTTGTTGAACCCGTGTGACTCTTTAAGACATAAAAACATTAAGTTCGTTTCCATTCGAGTCACATGAAGCTGGTGGTGAGTGAGGTGCTAGCAAGGTAGAGCAGAGGGTGGTGAGGGAGGCGTCTTAACTGCATTATCTGGACTCTTGCGAGGTAAAGCACTATTTCCTCTGTATATTCATGAGGGGCAACTCCACAAGTGGTAAAAACAGACAACACAGGTCTTTGTTGGGACGAAGTTGCTCCCACGAGTGGGTTGTTCTTGATGAAGCCTATTTGTATGTGAAATGTTATACCGACAAACACTTCACAGCATTTAACGTCTTTATTATCATTTCTGTCCGACTTGGACCATTAACTAGATAATGGTCCAAGTCAGACCGAAACGTCGTCATAAATTTAATTCTCCTACGTGAGGGTTAAACGTGTATTGTTCTAATCACAGTATTATTCCTTTTTATTCTTTATTACCACCACTACTTGACAGTGCTCACCCTGTAGTAGTTCTTCACGTATTGCTGTTACCAGATGGGAGGTGGAATCACGTGTTCTAGTCTTGTTCACCTCAAATTTCCGATTGGATGAAAGTTTGTCTAGCACGGAAACGTCTAATTTAAGCTTGTAAAATTAAGTAAGCATTTGGGATCTGTGTACTACTGGCTCGAATTACTGTCACTCAAGTGCCACAGTAAAACTATACTAGCTTAGTTTCTTCCATCGTAAATAGTTGGTTAACACTGGCTTGCCTACCTGTTGAAACTGGCTCCCAGTCCTTGATTTCCAGAACCACTGTTGTAATATTTTGACTACCGCCATGAGAATGAGTATGGGGTGCATAATATATATTAAACTAACTAGGGGCTGCATCGTTTTTCTTGTCACTAGTGCGTTTGTGTTCATTTTTAGGGATACTTTGGTAAAGGTTCGTATAAATTATCACATTCCATACAAAGGGCTATGCAGTATAGGATTTTATTTTACTAATTATACCCTCAATGAAGGTGCCTTGATCCAAGGAAATGAACCTAGCCTCGCCTTCCTCTGATCTAACCTAATTACCTCTCGTTTCCCCCATGCTCTGACTCCTTGGCCCCTCAAGGAAGGCTCCTTGACGCTGGTGAGGGGCTCTTGATCTAGGGAATTGGATCTGTGCTCCAGTTCCCTGAATTAAGCCTGAATGCCTTCCATCCCCCCATAGGCGCTGTATAATCCTACGGGTTTAGTGCTTCCCCCTTGATTATAATAATAATAATAATCTGACTCCTTGGTGGCAAGTTCCCTCAGACGCTTTTTTTTTTTTCGTTTACCATTATAGAGGACATGTTCTTCGTTAATTTGCGTCAATGTGATAACTTATTGTATTACTGCATACTCAGATGAACGATGTGGGTGTGAAGGAAGAGGGTATAGCAAGCTATAAGACTGCACTAGCACGCGATGAAGTAGGGAATGTCATACAAGAATTCCTTCAAGCCATCATGCCAGACATTATGGTAAGATAAATTTTTGTTATCCAGTTTCTTTTATAGGGTTAATTGTAAAGGGGACATAGCATAAAACTTGTACAATAAAATATTGCAGGAAGACTTTTACACCTGTTGCACTGTTAGTCCCTTCCTTGGCGTGTAAATTAGCAGGGTATACGTCAAATTCTAACCATACAATAGAACGGAGAAGTAATGTGAAGGACCTGGAAGTGATAATGTCAGAGGATCTCGCCTTCAAAGACCACAAAAATGTATCTACCTCATCTGCTAGGAAAATGATAGGATGGATAATGAGAACCTTCAAAACTAGGGATGCCAAGCCCATGATTCTCTTCAAATAGTTTCTCTCTAGGCTGGAATACTGCTGTACACTAACGGCCCCCTTCAAGGCTGGCGACATTGTAGACCTGGAGAGTGTACAAAGAACTTTCACGGCACATTACGATAAGGCACCTAAACTACTGGGAACGGTTGAAGGTCCTTGATCTGTATTCCCTCGAACGCAGGCGAGAGATGCATGATAATATACACTTAGAAGGTCCTGGAGGGATTGGTACCAAACCTCCACACGAAAATCACTCCCTATGAAAGAAAAAGGCTCGGCAGGAGATCTGGACATTGTCATCTGGACATTGTCATCTGGACATTGTCATCTGGACATTGCCATCTGGACATTGCCATCTGGACATTGCCATCTGGACATTGCCATCTGGACATTGCCATCTGGACATTGCCATCTGGACAGTTCCGGGGGTCAACGACCCCGCTGCCCGGTCTGTGACTAGGCCTCATGGTGGACCAGGGCCTGATCAACCAGGCTATTACTGCTGGCTGCACGCAATCCAACGTACTAACCACATCCTGGCTGGTCAGGTACCGATTTTAGGTGCTTGTCCAGTGCCTGCTTAGACAGCCAGGGTTCTATTGGTAATCCCCCCTTATGTATGCTGGGAGTCAGTTGAACAGTTTTGGGCCCCTGACACTTATTGTATTGTATCTTAACGTGCTAGTGACACCCCTGCTTTTCATTGGGGGGATGTTGCATCGTCTGCAGAGTCTTTTGCTTTCGTAGGGAGTGATTTTCGTGTGCAAGTTTGGTACTAGTCCCTCTAGGATTTTCCAGGTGTATATAATCGTGTATCTCCCGCCTGCGTTCCAGAAGTACATGCTCAGGAACTTTAAGCGCTCCCAGCAATTGAGGTGTTTTATCTCGGTTATGCGCGTCGTGAAGGTTTTCTGTACATTTTCTAGGTCGGCAATTTCACCTTCCTTGAAAGGTGATGCAGGAGATGCAACATTCCTCCGATGAAAAGCAGGGGCGCCACGGGTACACTGAGACAACACGATAAGTGTCCGGGGCCCAAGACTGTTTAATTGCCTCCCAGCATACATAAGGGGGATTACCAATAGGCCCCTGGCTGTTTTCAAGAAGGCACTGGACAGGCACCTAAAGTCAGTACCTGACCAACCGGGCTGTGGTTCGCACGTCAGCTTGCGTGCGGCCAGCAGTAACAGCCTGGTTGATCAAACCCTGATCACCACGAGGCCTGGTCTCAGACCGGGCCGCGGGGGCGTTGACCCCCGAAACCCTCCCCAGGTAAACACGAAAGTGCTATACTCTTAAGTCTTCCTGGATCACAAACTCGCTAGGCCTGTGACATTATGGAAAGTGAAACTTCAAAATTCATTAACTATAGTGAAACAATAGTTTTGCACTGACTAGTACCGAACTTGCACACGAAAATCACTCACTACGAAAGCAAAAGACTTGGCAGACGATGCACCATCCCCCCAATGAAAAGCAGGGGTGTCACTAGCACGTTAAGAGACCATACAATAAGTGTCAGGGGTCCGAGACTGTTCAACTGCCTCCCAGCACACATAAGGGGGATTACCAACAGACCCCTGGCAGTCTTCAAGGTGGCACTGGACAAGCACCTAAAGTCAGTTCCTGATCAGCCGGGCTGTGGCTCGTACGTTGGTTTGCGTGCAGCCAGCAGCAACAGCCTGGTTGATAAGGCGCTGATCCACCAGGAGGCCTGGTCACAGACCGGGCCGCGGGGGCGTTGACCCCCGAAACTCTCCAGGTAAACTCCAGGTTATATAGTCGTTCAACACTGTTCAGAGACACATCTCAGTAATAACTTATCTCCACTTAAATACAAACCAGTAAACACTAAAAAGACATATATTGTTCTAACCCTTGTTACATTTGTAGTAAATGATGCCACGTGACTTGAGACCTTGCTGCCAAACTAGGCAAGATATATTTCTAACACCAGAATCTTTATTGACGAAATGCTTCGCCTACACAGCAGGCTTCATCGGTCGAATAGACACCACTCATAATCCTGGAGACATCAGCGTTGATGGAAAAGACTGATGTCTCCTGAAATTTGATTCATCTCTGTATTCGACTGATGAAGCTTGTAGTGTTGAAGATAAGATAAGATAAGATTTCGTTCGGATTTTTAACCCCGGAGGGTTAGCCACCCAGGATAACCCAAGAAAGTCAGTGCGTCATCGAGGACTGTCTAACTTATTTCCATTGGGGTCCTTAATCTTGTCCCCCAGGATGCGACCCACACCAGTCGACTAACACCCAGGTACCTATTTGCTGCTAGGTGAACAGGACAACAGGTGTAAGGAAACGTGTCGAAATGTTTCCACCCGCCGGGAATCGAACCCGGGCCCTCCGTGTGTGAAGCGGGAGCTTTAGCCACCAGGCCACCGGGCCACCGAAAAGTTTAGTCAGTGAAGATTTGTTGCAAATGTCTTGCTAATCAACTTGTCGGCAATGTATATCATTTATTAAAAGGTTTCAAGATTAGTGTGCTGGGTATGTGTTTTTTTTTTTTTTTTTTTTTTTTTTTTTTTTTTTTTTTTTACTACCTAGGGGCTATAAATGATCTTTATTGACGAGTCTCTGGCGGACACTGCACATTATTATAATACCGATATATTGTGCTAGGTTTCAAGAATAGAGGTGAGCCAATAGCTAACAATTTATTGGGACATGAAACCTCCCACTATCGTCCCATTGCTCTTACCAGTGCAGTTTGCAAAGTAATGGAACGCCTAGTAAATAGACGTTTAGTGTGGTATTTAGAGACACAACAGTCTCTCCACTCGTCAATATGGCTTTCGTAAGGGACGTTCTACCATAGACCCCTTACTACGCTTGGATATGTATGTTCGTAATGCCTTTGCGAATAACCACTCGGTTATTGCCATATTTTTTGACCTTGAGAAGGCATATGACACAACTTGGAGGTATAATATTTTAGCCCAAGCCCACTCCTTAGGCCTTCGAGGCAATCTACCATCCTTCCTTAAGAACTTTTTAACTGACAGGCATTTCCGTGTTCGGGTTTATAATGTGCTCTCCCCGGACTTTATCCAAGCTGAAGGTGTCCCCCAGGGATGTGTTCTGAGCACAATTTTTCTCCTTGCTATTAATGATTTGGCCTCTAGTCTTCCATCAAATATTTGGTCATCACTCTATGTTGATGACTTCGCTATTGCCTGTGCAGGCGCTGTCACCTCATTAGTTTCTCTCCAACATGCAGTCGACCGTGTTTCCAATTGGGCCACCACACGTGGGTTTAAATTTTCCAGCACTAAAACCCACCAAATTACTTTCACTAGACGCTCTGTCATCTCGGATCATCCTTTGTACCTCTATGGCTCCCGTATCCCTGAACGTGATAGTCAAGTTTCTGGGCCTCTTTGATCGTAGGTTATCCTGGAAACCTCACATTACCTCTCTGAAGGCAACTTGTCACAGCCGGCTGAACCTTCTTAAAACCCTTGCTCATCTTTCATGGGGAGTTGATCGTCGAACCCTCCTTCGCCTACATTCCACCCTTATTTTATCGAAACTTGATTATGGTGACCAGATCTATTCAGCGGCATCTCCTGCTACTCTCTCTAGCCTTAACCCCATTCATCACCAAGGATTACGTTTGTGCCTTGGTGCTTTTCGCTCTTCCCCTGTCGAGAGCCTCTATGCAGAAACGAATGTTCCATCCTTATCGCCATGATGCCCATTGCCTTCGCTACTATGTACGCTCTCATGATCTCCGCAATCCTTCCATTTATAGAATGGTCACTGATATTAGACATTCTTTATTTGTTCGTCGCCCCTGTTTACTCCGTCCCTTCTCTCTTCGCCTTCATTCGCTCTTGTCTTCTCTTCAACTACCACCTTTCTATGTACATGTAGCATCTCACTTTTCCCTACCCCCCCTGGGAAGTTCCAGCTGTTCGAGTCTGTTCTTTCTCCCTCCCTTGCTCGAAAGCCCAACTGTCTACAGTCGCTTCCCGCTCTTTTTCTTGACCACTTTCACTCTCATTCTCATGCCATTGCTGTGTACACAGATGGCTCTAAGTCTTCTGACGGCGTAGGATTCGCAGCAGTGTTTCCGGACAGCGTCGTACAAGGGCATTTACTATCTTCGGCTAGTATTTTTACTGCTGAATTATATGCCATCCTTACAGCACTTATCCGTATTGCATCTATGCCTGTGTCATCATTTGTGGTTGTCTCAGACTCCCTTAGTGCTTTACAGGCTATACAAAAATTTGATACACCTCACCCCTTAGTCCTTTGTATCCAACTTTGGCTACGCCGCATCTTTACCAAGCATAAAGATATTTTTTGTTGGGTCCCTGGTCATGTTGACGTACAGGGCAATGAACAGGCAGACACTGCTGCGCGGTCAGCAGTACGTGACCTACCAGTTTCTTATAGAGGTATTCCATTTACGGACTATTTTGCTGCAATATCTTCCCACCTTCACACCCGTTGGCAACAACGTTGGTCTACTATGCTCGGCAACAAACTTCAATCTATTAAACAGAGTATAGGTTACTGGCCGTCTTATCACCAGTGTCTAGGTTGGGAGACTACTCTCTCCCGTCTTCGCATTGGCCATACTAGTCTTACTCATGAATATCTCATGGAGAGGCGTCTTGCTCCTCTGAGAATTGCCAAGCTCCATTATCAGTCAGCCACATTCTGTTGGACTGCCCACTTATCAACGAGCACGCAGAATTTACCTCTGTCGTCGTCTTCGCTCCGCTGCTCTCTTTACCTTCCCTTCTCGCTGATGGACCCACCTTTCATCCGGACTCTCTCATTGACTTTTTGACAACTGACTGACTTCGCAAATTCTGATACCTTCAGCCCTTTCTACTTCAATCTCTTGCTACCCTCTACCCCCGTACTATCCCCTGCCCCGCTGTTTTCTGTAACTTGCTGATCATCCCTCCTCCCTTCTGCCATCCAATACCCTCGCTTCCTTCCCTACCCTGCAGCGCTGTATAGCCCTTGTGGCTTAGCGCTTCTTTTTTATTATAATAATAATAATAACAATTGGAAGTTATCAAGTACAGTATGGTGTAACATTCGGCACATTTCCCCAGTCACATGCCTAAATTTGAAAAATCGTTAGATATTATCTTGTTTCAATAAGCCGTAATTAAAATTGTGTGAAATGGAAGGACTCTTCACAAATGTTATATACTTGTATTTGTGAAATTTGTTAGTTTATATTGTTAAATGTATAATATCTATACACTGGAAAATTGATACTTCCTATATTACCCTTTAGAAAGTTGATATGAAGTAATATTCATTACTAATAGTAAGATAAGATAAGATTTCGTTCGGATTTTTAACCCCGGGGGGTTAGCCACCCAGGATAACCCAAGAAAGTCAGTGCGTCATCGAGGACTGTCTAACTTATTTCCATTGGGGTCCTTAATCTTGTCCCCCAGGATGCGACCCACACCAGTCGACTAACACCCAGGTACCTATTTGCTGCTAGGTGAACAGGACAACAGGTGTAAGGAAACGTGTCGAAATGTTTCCACCCGCCGGGAATTGAACCCGGGCCCTCCGTGTGTGAAGCGGAAGCTTTAGCCACCAGGCCACCGGGCCACCTGAGGGTTTGTATGTTTTGGCACTTGCCTTTTTTTAAATCTTTTATATTTTCCAGGAATGAGAAGATTTAAATTTATAATTTGGTTATAAAAAATGATAGTATTCATTTACCTTCCAGGAGAATGATGCTCTACTGAGGCTGAGTAATGAAGACAGAACAACAGGGTTGTGGGCTCTTGCTAGGTCAGTGCTGACTCCTCTCCTGGGCACACTACTACTACCATTCCTTAAAATAATCATAGTGACCCTCATCGCTTTCACACTCAGGACACTTTGCATCGCACTCTTCGGTGAGGTAGCAAAATGCATAATAAAGTATCCTAGTTTTTTTTTCTTATGTATTTTATACTCTAGCTTTATGCATCTTATTTCGCTTGTTTACACCTGTCCGTCTCTCATCCTATGCTGTTGTCAGGACTTCCATGAAATAAGTTTTTGGTCAAAAGGGTGAGAATGCGCTGCTTCTGTAGGGTTACTTTCTTTTGCTTTTCACTTGCATTTCTTCTTTTCGGTCTTTAATGGATATAGAAACAGATCTGACAGCTTCAATGAAATACTTCGAAAATGTTTTGGTGATAAAGCGCACAGTTTCACATTTTTGGCTCGCTGAATGTGCTACCTTTTGTTTTCGTGATTCCGCGACGTTCATGTTATATCAGCAAAACCAATAGTTTGTCGTCGCCCTTCAGGCTTTTTGTGCCTTGTGCTGCTTATTTTCCTTCCATGGAGAAATCTTTTATTAAAGTTTGCTCTTCGCTCCGTCCTTTCTCAAAGCTTCGCATTTGCTTTTAAATTGTGGTCACAACATTATCCCTTCTGTATAAACTGTTGGTTTGAAGTCCTGTTGGAGTAGGGTCTCCTGTTTTTTCTGATTATATTTTACAAAGGAGATATCTGCAGTATGCTAGTATTGAGTGCAACGTTTTACCCCTTGTTGACGGCATTGATATTATCATAACTTATTTCTGACCCAGTGTATTACAAAGTCGAAGCTTTCTAACCTTCCCCAACTTCTTACTCTTCGTATTCAGTATCTTTGATGGGTCCTCATCAATTCCGGTGATTCCAGGCACCGAGTTTTGGAACTTTTGTGCGTTCACTAGTTACAAACTTTTACCTGAAACACCTTTTCAGGGTATTTCCCGTCCTGATCCAGGTCACGATCGGCACTGGTGATCAGGGTACTCGTAGCATGAATGGGTAGCATCTTTGGTTCGCATCTGAAGGACCTGATTTCAGTCTAGGAAAAAATGGAGACTTTAGGATGTTTCCTTATACCTATTGCCCCTACTTGCCTTGCAGTAAGATGCCAGTGCTGGCAGACTGTGGGTCTCGCCCGAGGAAAGATGATCAGTGAACCCGCATGTAAAAAGTCGTAAACTCTAGGGATGGGGGGCTTCCTTGCATTATCCCGAGTTACTAACCCTCCAGATTAATAATCTGAGTAAAATCATCCTCACCAATAAGTTACCTGTCAAGGGATTCCTGGGCTTCGTTATAATAATTTCATCACTGCCGATTGTGAGAGTTGTCGTGTGGTTCCAGGGTGGTCCAGCCACTCGCCCACTGTCATCTCATGGAAGAGTGCCCTGCTCCACTGCCAGAAAATAAGGCTGTTCAACAAGTTCTGGTAGATTATCTCGTTTAAGAACACGAAGGTCATCTTAATATTTTCAGTGCCTGGCTATATTTATTGTTTAGGCTTTCCTCTCAAAAGTACCATCTTAATGATGCCATTTTCAGCACTTTGTATGCAGACTTTGCTGATTTGTTCAATTTGTGTCCAACTAATGCGCTCAATGTTCCTGTAGAGTTCCTGTTCTTAGCCCCATGGGTTTAGTAATTTTCGTGAAAATAATTATCACAGGTTCATAAATTTATGATAAGAGTAGATCAACAAGTGAGAAATGTTAAAGAAATGCACAGTACAAAGATTTTTGGTAGTTTGGTCATGACAGTGGGTGTTTTGCAGGGGAGCGAACTATGGCGAGGATAGTAGGCAGTGAGGGGTACATCTACTACGCCAGTATAGTCCTCTCCAAGTATATTGGTTACGGCCCCGTCACTCGCCTCCAGGGCGACTTCCTTCAGCAGCTGACCGGATTGTGACGCTAGCCACAGGCGTGGGTGCGTCTGGGAAACACTACGTCTTCTGGGAACATGTTGCACATAGGGTGAGAATCCCCGTGGATAACGTCAGGCTTCTCCGAGGACATCATGACTTCCGTTGAAGGCGTTAAGGTCTTCCTGAAGGAATTCAGGATCCCCCTCAAGGGCGTTAGGCTTTCCTTGGAAATGACTGCTCTAATTCCTGAGCAGACTATCAGTGACAGCTGCGCAGTAAGAGTCTGTACATCTATCACTGATAGTGATATACTGTTTGCTACTATAGTTACTTCAAGAGTACATGCAATCTGCAACGACCATCAGGGTTTGTTGTATGTTCAAGAATGATTATCATTGTGTACCGTACTGTTAACACTGAATCTCCCCCAGGACATGATGCATAATCTGGAACGCCCCTCTGGGCTCTAATCTGAAATGACCACCTGCTGGGACAAGACAATGGGAACACCACCCGAGTGCACTGGACAGTTCGAATGACTTTAGGACTCTCTGCAAATGGACAATTGGGATGGAGTCCAAGAAATATTGAGCAGTTGAGAAGTCTGTAAAGACGTACTGAATAATTGGAGCAACGGAGAGGATGAAAATTGTAGTGAGGAAAAATATATATCTGACGTGCTGTTGTGTACACTAATCATATAAACCCCTCATGCAGTCTGTTTTTAGGAATAATATAAATTAAATTTTGAAGATATTGCATTAATTTTAGATGAAAAATACTAAAGCAGTTTAATTTAATTGCTGACTTGCTCCTGTGAGCCTCTCGTTATCAGTACCTGCTTCAATAAGCGTCATTGGCATTATCAGAATTTAACGGTTTGTCAAGACAAAAATACTTTTCAGTATTCTTTTCACCCCTGTTGTATACTGAGCAAAGAGCTTTCTGCTTTATTTTCCCTGTTGAAAACATCTAGGTGGTAGTAGTAGACAGTCTTCGCCATGTAGCGTTGGTGTTCTGCTCTTTACCTTTCTTGTGTGCTCCTTATTAAACATTGGTGGACCTCCGCCAGTTGTGCCGCTTGAGCAGCTTATTGTGCACCCCATGTTAGTATTGTGAGCGGTAGGGAAAAGTCTCGGTAGGTCTGTTAGACCCCCCTCCCACTGAGCATCATAACATCACTAGAAATAAATACTAGTCATTGATTTATTACTATTAAAAAATGGTCATGCTGGGTTGCAATCTGTAAAAGCAGTTCATTCATCTACTCGATGCAAAGTGGATATAACAGCAAGACTTCAGATATTGTCAGTAATGAAGGGTTTTGACATATCCTGCAAGGTTAGCGCTAAGGTGTCTGAAAGGTTGGATGTCTGGACACTATAATGCTGTAGTGTGTGGCCCTGTCTGTACACACTGCATTTCGTCATTGACATCTCCCTACAAGCGGTATTGCCAGAGATACTTGTAGCCTAGCCGTAATCTAACAGAACATTTTGCAGTCTACTGACCTTGTTACTTTCTCCATAGATATGTTTACCTAGATATTTCATTGGTGGATCTGCTAGTTCTTATCTGTACTGTTATACTTTCCTTAAGCTCATTTGCCGCTTTTTTCCGTAAGCTTCATTTAGAAAAAAATTATACTAGAGGTTCTCTTAATGCTTGTTGAATTAATTCATCAACTTGATCCTATTCCTGGAGCACTAGCTTGTGAGAGAGAATCCACAAAAATTGAACTGTAGCCCCTTAACTATATTTGAGCCTAGCTTCGTACACAAGCATGCTACATTCAGGTCTCCCCTGATCCCTTCACCTAGCTGTTTATAGCCTCAACATTATTTTCTGCCCTGCAGCGCTGTATGACTTGTCGGTTTAGCGCTTTCTTTGATTATAATAATACATTCAGGTCTCAGGGTATTTAAAGCAAGTAATGAGGAAAGTCAGTGTGCAGTCGTAGTTCCCACAAGCTTGAGAGCAGCAAATATGGTAAATAGCTCAGTTTGTTAAAGCCCAGTTATTTTTAATATAGACCTTCGCCAGATTTCACAAACCCCAGAGCCTGCCGCCTCTGTAACAAAGATTGCCGAGGACTATAGTTAGCACGCGCACTCGTACGTAATCCCTTCAAGGCCTAGCTAGAAGGTTGACTATGCTGATGAAGGGCTGTTGATAATTATAAGAGCTAACCTACCCCGTCTTTGATCAAATTTGATTGCCTTCAGTTTTCCACGAGTGTATGGCCCATATAGGCTCGGCGCTCCACCCATTGAATGTAATAACTTCATGCTTTTTTAAAAAATGGAGGAGTTGCCCAAACTCCCATTTATTCGTTTAAACTAAACACTCCAGCTTGGTAACCATGCTGGTTGTTCTGCAGGTTGTACTCTTCACACGTTCTTAATGTTTCCAACTGAAAAATCGCGGCTGACGTTCGCTGCAAGATAGTATTCCATCGTTCCTATCCACACCGTCTTAGAGGATCGTGCCTTCATGCCGGTAAAAGGCTAAAGATCATAGGACCTGCTTTCCCATTCTCCAGGCGCTGAAAGATCCCTGCTGGTTTAAACCCTTTTACATCATAATAACGGGCGGATTTAAGTCCTGGATGTGGGCAGTACAGTGCCCACACTCGAGAGGTGGGGATATTGCAGTTCAGAGGGTCTTGAATTGTGATGGCTAGGCACTTCTGGCAAAATAAGTATTTGGAGTGATGGAGTCAATTTTTTTTTTTTTTTTTTTTTTTTTTTTTTTTTGGGGGGGGGGAGGGGACGCCCGGCGTGTTAGTTATTTGTGCCTTGTACGAAGACTCCCTTAAACAGAAAAGGGTGCAGTTTTCCCTTTCTTGGATCGAATCTGATAACCTTTCGTTCCCCAGACACTGCATGACAACTGGGTTTAGCGCTCCTCCATTAATTTAGGGATATTTAGCATTGACTTAGTTTGGGCTTTTTAAATACAACTTCTTGTTTAATACACCTCCATTAACTAGCGGATTGTGCAAGTATTTTAAGTAATTACCCCTACAATAGACTCCGACCCCTCAAGGGAGGTTCTTCGATGCTTGTGTGCGACTCTTGATCCAGTCAGTTTGACATGACCACAACCTGAATGCTACCCACAGTGCTGTATGGCCCTTGTGGTTTAGCGCTTCTTTTGATTATAATAATGAATGCTACCCATTCCCATGTAAATGTAACAATTATTCTTCATGGTAGTTTAGTGTCAAAAAAAGGAACTCTTGAGCTAAGAAACTGAACTTGTATTCCCCACTGAATCTAACATACCTGGAGTTTACCTGGAGAGAGTTCCGGGGGTCAACGCCCCCGCGGCCCGGTCTGAGACCAGGCCTCCTGGTGGATCAGAGCCTGATCAACCAGGCTGTTGCTGCTGGCTGCACGCAAACCAACATACGAGCCACAGCCCGGCTGATCCGGAACTGACTTTAGGTGCTTGTCCAGTGCCAGCTTGAAGACTGCCAGGGGTCTGTTGGTAATCCCCCTTATGTGTGCTGGGAGGCAGTTGAACAGTCTCGGGCCCCTGACACTTATTGTATGGTCTCTTAACGTGCTAGTGACACCCCTGCTTTTCATTGGGGGGATGGTGCATCGTCTGCCAAGTCTTTTGCTTTCGTAGTGGGTGATTTTCGTGTGCAAGTTCGGTACTAGTCCCTCTAGGATTTTCCAGGTGTATATAATCATGTATCTCTCCCTCCTGCGTTCCAGGGAATACAGGTTTAGGAACCTCAAGCGCTCCCAATAATTGAGGTGTTTTATCTCCGTTATGCGCTCCGTGAAAGTTCTCTGTACATTTTCTAGGTCGGCAATTTCACCTGCCTTGAAAGGTGCTGTTAGTGTGCAACAATATTCCAGCCTAGATAGAACAAGTGACCTGAAGAGTGTCATCATGGGCTTGGCCTCCCTAGTTTTGAAGGTTCTCATTATCCATCCTGTCATTTTTCTAGCAGATGCGATTGATACAATGTTATGGTCCTTGAAGGTGAGATCCTCCGACATGATCACTCCCAGGTCTTTGACGTTGGTGTTTCGCTCTATTTTGTGGCCAGAATTTGTTTTGTACTCTGATGAAGATTTAATTTCCTCATGTTTACCATATCTGAGTAATTGAAATTTCTCATCGTTGAACTTCATATTGTTTTCTGCAGCCCACTGAAAGATTTGGTTGATGTCTGCCTGGAGCTTTGCAGTGTCTGCAATGGAAGACACTGTCATGCAGATTCGGGTGTCATCTGCAAAGGAAGACACGGTGCTGTGGCTGACATCCTTGTCTATGTCAGATATAAGGATGAGGAACAAGATGGGAGCGAGTACTGTGCCTTGTGGAACAGAGCTTTTCACCGTAGCTGCCTCGGACTTTACTCTGTTGACGACTACTCTCTGTGTTCTGTTAGTGAGGAAATTATAGATCCATCGACCGACTTTTCCTGTTATTCCTTTAGCACGCATTTTGTGCGCTATTACGCCATGGTCACACTTGTCGAAGGCTTTTGCAAAGTCTGTATATATTACATCTGCATTCTTTTTGTCTTCTAGTGCATTTAGGACCTTGTCGTAGTGGTCCAATAGTTGAGACAGACAGGAGCGACCTGTTCTAAACCCATGTTGCCCTGGGTTGTGTAACTGATGGGTTTCTAGATGCGTGGTGATCTTGCTTCTTAGGACCCTTTCAAAGATTTTTATGATATGGGATGTTAGTGCTATTGGTCTGTAGTTCTTTGCTGTTGCTTTACTGCCCCCTTTGTGGAGTGGGGCTATGTCTGTTGTTTTTAGTAACTGTGGGACGACCCCCGTGTCCATGCTCCCTCTCCATAGGATGGAAAAGGCTCGTGATAGGGGCTTCTTGCAGTTCTTGATGAACACAGAGTTCCATGAGTCTGGACCCTGGGGCAGAGTGCATGGGCATGTCATTTATCGCCTGTTCGAAGTCATTTGGCGTCAGGATAACATCGGATAGGCTTGTGTTAATCAAATTTTGTGGCTCTCTCATAAAAAATTCATTTTGATCTTCGACTCTCAGTCTGGTTAGCGGCTTGCTAAAAACTGAGTCATATTGGGACTTGAGTAGCTCACTCATTTCCTTGTTGTCATCTGTGTAGGACCCATCTTGTTTAAGTAGGGGCCCAATACTGGACGTTGTTCTCGATTTTGATTTGGCATAGGAGAAGAAATACTTTGGGTTTCTTTCGATTTCATTTATGGCTTTTAGTTCTTCCGCGATTCCTGACTCCTAAAGGATTCTTTTAGCTTAAGTTCGATGCTTGCTATTTCTCTGACCAGTGTCTCCCTACGCATTTCAGATATATTGACCTCTTTTAGCCGCTCTGTTATTCTTTTCCGTCGCCTGTAAAGGGAGCGCCTGTCTCTTTCTGTTTTACATCTACTCCTCCTTTTTCTTAGAGGAATAAGCCTTGTGCATACATCGAGTGCTACCGAGTTAATCTGTTCTAGGCATAAGTTGGGGTCTGTGTTGCTTAGTATATCTTCCCAGCTTATATCGGTTAGGACTTGGTTTACTTGGTCCCACTTTATGTTTTTGTTATTGAAGTTGAATTTGGTGAATGCTCCCTCGTGACTAATCTCATTATGTCGGTCTGGGGCTCCGCACATACATGACTGAACCTCAATTATGTTGTGATCTGAGTATATTGTTTTTGATATGGT